CATTTGTGAACAGAATAATGAGATAAATCAAATAGTGTAAAGAAAACACATAGTTGCTTTAAAAAAAATATGTATACAAAATGGATAATTTAATTTTTGTATATGTACCAAAATAATAAAGTGTAAAATATCTCGAAAACTATTGGTTTTTTGGTATCTCTACCTTAATACTTTTATATGCAAAATAATTAGAGGAATCACGTTATCTAAAAAAAATTACATAATTTCATTTAAAAAAGTGGAGGTGACCTTCATATCTTTTTAGCGCCTCCACTTAGAAAAAAAACAATATGACTAAAACGTGTCCCCCTCGACACCGTTCCATTTTTATTTGAAACATTTTTTCGTATTGTCAAAAATAAACGAAATATTCAAGATGTAGGATTTAAGTGGACCACCCGGTATATAATATACTATATAGTATATACTATATACTATATAGTATATTATATATTAGATAGGCATATAGTATATTATATATACTATCAAGAGAACACGTCTCTTGATAGTATATATAAATAAACATTAGCACATTATCCACAAAAAATTTCTGTAATTTTTATTTTGTCTCCTTTTCGTATATCTCCATATATAATTCTCGCTTTTCTCTATAAAATATATAAAATAAATCAACGATTTTCCAAATAATATATTATGAATTGTATGGATTACCAATTATAATTCTATTAAAATTCCATTTCTATTTTTGTTATACATGATTCTATTCCTTATTTTACACAGGTAGTTTATTTCAATTAATTAAATCATATTTTTATGATTTAATTAATTGAAATAAACTATTATAAAATCGCTCACTATATAGCGATCTTTAAATCTTAATATTTTTTAATAATAATTTAGGGTGTTCTTTTGGCATGAAATAGAAATTTCATGTAAATGTAATGGAAGCAAATTTCAAGCAGATACATTAAAATCATTAAATCTAAGTTAAATCTTGTGATTTTATGCTCATTGACAACATTGAATGATTTTAATGTACCTGCTTGAAATTTGCTTCCATTACTTTACATAAAATTTTACATATATATTTTTAACAGTGTATAGTATATTGTATGTATATGTATAATTAATAATTATATTTATATACCTATGTGCGTGTATTTGTGAGTGTATACATATATTATAATTTTAAAAAATTGAGCTAAAAATGTGTATATACTAAAAAAATAGAATTTTAATCTTTTTTTATATTTATTAAAACAGCTGTCTTCACATAATATTCTATTCTGTAGCGTCAAGAAAAAAAGTAACGAAAAAAGTATAACGATTCGTTATATTTTTATATTTTGAGTAATTGTAACGATAACGAGATACTTTTGCAAATCAACAAGGAAAAAGAGGAATGAGTTATTTTTTAGGGAAGAGAACGGTAACAATAACGAGTTATTTTTATGAGGTAATGTTACCAATCTTGACAAAATTTTACTTGTTCTTTACACTCCTTACAAATCACAAACTGAGAAAGTGTGGAAAATACTAAGAAAAATTCTATAATCCGATATCCGTAACTGATCAACACGAACTTCTTCGTCTCTGCTCACATTCAATTTTTTAGCTGATATACTCGTAAATGAGGTTTCATTTTCGGATGTAAATTGATTACCTTGATATTTTCTTTTTTTACTTTTGTCTTGACGGTTAGGGCTTCCTGTTTTATGTTTTCTTTCCATGATATATATTATCCGTTCACGTAACGTTCAAACCAAAGTTCGAGAAAGAATTTGAAAGACCACTAAGATTCTAACTGTTATAGCCGTTGTGTTAAGTTAGATACACACATATAAAGTTTTTTGTATGTGTAACAGATTCTGTTTCTTTTGTTTAGAGTTCTTGGTGAAACCCAACGCTTGGGCTCTTGAAACATAAACAATAAATCTCTGCGCTCTGAGCGGATTCTTTACCTGAGCGCGGCAAACGGTCGGACGACTACTTACTAAATCGCTTATATATTCGTCAATTTTTCAAATTTCAAAATAATACTTTAGGAACATATTTTTTAAATGTTTTACTATCAGAAAATAAAAAATTTTTTTCGATTTTTTTAAGGTTCTAAACTAGGATTCTTCCTTAAATTCTATTCTACCTAATTAAAAAACAAAACCCAAGTAATATCACACATCTTTAAAAAAATTAATTTAAATAGAAAAATTTTTTATGTAAAAACACTTGGCGCTGTTAGATCAAATAAAAAAAACTGAAAACTATCTAGTGTTATAATAATTAATAAAAATAGATGCAAAGATAATAATAATTTAAAAATGATAGTAAACTTAATCTGAACGTTAAATTTAATAAAAATACAGTTTATTGTTTATTTCTTTCTATACAACTCACTCACATATATAAGCGAGTATATACACACTGGATACTTTAACTCTCGTGGGATTATTTCTTATTTTTTTTATTCTAAATATCACATCTATATTTTTTTATTTTTTACTATGATGTTACTATATCGAGATTGAGATTGAGAAGTGTTTTTACATAAAAAATTTTTCTATTTAAATTAATTTTTTTTTAAAGATAGTACTATTTGGATTTTACTTTTTAATTAGATAGAATAAAATTTTGGCGCCGGCTGTTGATATCAAATCTTTTATACAAGTGATACAAAAACACAAAAAATTTATACGACATATTAAGCAACAGAACCACTACCAAAATTAACAAAAGAAAAGATAGAAATCTAAAAATATGAACATACATATAATATTCGAAATAAACATGTAAGCAGTTATATGTATATAAAAGAAAACTGTTGAGTAAGGTTAATTACCAGACCATGAAAATGAAATCTTCTTTTAGTCGTACGACAAGGCAGCAAGATGGTTCTTGAAAAACGCAATCACAAAAATCAATGAGCAATCTCAGTATTATAATCACAAAGCCGTCCACGATAGTTTCAATAATACTTTTGAGTATGTTATTGGATTCCGTTGAGATAGGATAAGATATAACTAGAATTATAACAAAAATCAAATTACATAATTGGATACTTTCAAAGAATCAAAAACACACAACCCGAGCGAGGAAAGCACATCCGCACGGTACGCTAGCTTACAACGGAATTTACGGAATGGAATGCAAGTATTGTTTCAACTTCTAGTGTATTCGATTAGTGTTGCTAGCGGGGCCGCGTTTTCATGCGCATGCGCGGCGAACCAGTCATGTCTCTACTAGAGTGTAGCGTGGTATCGTGATGGTGCGACAAATGTTGGTATTCTTATGATACTGCCAAATAAAACATTTTATTTAAAATATGTAAATAATGATTGAAATTATTTTAATATCTTTCCCCATATATATGTTCCTATATTAATTACATTATATAATTCTTAAATTTATAACATCTTTATTTTATTTTGTATTACATTTTTTTTTATTTTACTTATTATAAGCCTAATAATTATAAATTTAAGTAACAAAACTCAATAAAAATAAATAAAGGTACAGAAGAAAGATTATGAGCCTAATGATTATGTATTTCTATATAAATTTAATAGTTTATCTAAAGGTTCCAAAGATACTCGTATTTTTGTGAACTTGATACGTCGTTGAGGTCACGTGCATAGGCATGCGGGAGAAAACGCGGCCCCGCTGGGCCCCGCTAACAATACTATCCGATTTACTGACTCGACCCGACTCTGAATCAATGGTCTGTTCTGTTTAGCTGCAAAAGAAGAGCTAAACCATGCAAGAAATATAGCTAAAAAGAACTGACTCGGAGTCTGATCGAGTCAGTAAATCAAATACGCTGCAAACCTCAAAATATAATAAGTGAATGTATATTTTCTTTCTTAAACCTTTTCATTATTTTTCATATTCGGAATTATTTAATAACTATCTTATTATTGTATATTTTGAGGTCTAGCAGCGCCAAGTTTTTTGTACTTTTACTTTATGAAATAAAGTATATGTTATATATATGGCAAGAAAATATATTCCTTCCACAATTTGACGCAATCTAAAAAGATTTCATTTCATTTTTGCACACTTTTAGCGCCTTTTTTCCCCTTTTTTTAAAAAGAATCATAATATACAAAAGTACGCGAAAAGAATTTAAACCTTCGATAAAATTATACGAATTTTGTTCGTCTGAATGTACAATTAATTTTTCTTGTGATAACTTTTTTTTAATAATTGACTTGCAATTTTAATTAATTAGAGTGTCTCTTGATGAATCAAGATATTCGTTCAGCGTTGATCCAACATTTAAAGTCAAAAAGTACAAACGAACTAAGTGATAAATGTATTCGAGATACATGACGAAAATTTGTATGAAAAATGTTTGTCAAAATATCAAGAATATTGTAAGTTACAACGTCAGTAGGTACAGCTGGTGCAACATTTATAGGTAATAAAACTAAACGCAGTATTATGGCCGTTGTTATTTATTTTGAACGATCTGCCATCATCCATAAGATTTAAGCACATGTTATTAGCAGGGATAATATATGTTTATAAAGAATAAATTCCTACCTAAATAGATTCTTAGGTCCATGATTCCTACACATAAGCTCATGAATCTGTACATGGAAACATTTCTACAGAAAGCGGAAATTCTAATGAAAATTTTAATGAAAAATCTTGTTGCTCTTCCTGTTGCGTCTATGACACAGTCGATGGTCGATCCAGAAACATATATTAGGCCTGTTATTTCTTTTTGACTGAACCTTTGCACCAGGTCATCTTTTTTCTTTTCTCTTCTCCCGGAGAGAAAAGAAAGAACTGGTGCAAAAGTTCAGTCAAAAAGAACAGGCCTCTATAGTATTTATACCAATATGTATGATAATTATGTTTTTCAGTAGATTCAGTTGCTCAAGCTATAGTACAGTGCCATATTAAATTTAACGGATACTTCGGTTGCAGTTAGTCAGTTACTGTTATCAGCAGAGAACGTATACAACTACAATGAGATATCCCCTTTCGAAAATAAAAATACTAAAATAAGAACGCATGAATCTCATATGAGTGATGTACAAGTGGCGGAGATCGGGGCATTATAAATCACAAAAATTCAAACAGTAAAAAATACATTAAAATGTAAGATTTTTGTTTCAATTTTTTTATATAATTAAGGGATAATGTATATTTTAAGATTTTTATTGAGCATTTTTCAAAAATATTGATTTGTTTTTTAAATAAAAATCGAAAAAGAAATTTTTTGAAAAAAATAATTAAATTTTTATAATTTACTTTATACTTCAGTATATTTATAGTCAGCTCTTATTTCAAGACTATCTCAATTAATGCCTTTTAATGAATATTTATCATCATTAATAAGACATTAACTAAAAGTCTTAAAATAAAAACAGACTATAAATTTACTGAATTATAAAGTAAATTATAAAAATTTTCTTAAATATAGAAAAAATTATAATAAAATTGATATAATATACATACTAATATATATGCTATAAACATTATATAAACGCTATATATGCTTTCCTTTTAGATGACACACTCATCACAAACGTCGTTCTATCCTTCTTAACATTCAACGAATGATAAAGATAGAACGATATTTGTGTCGAGTGGCTGTCAGATTTCCTAACCTAAATTGACTTGAATTGAATAGTCTAGTCGTCAACCATCGTCAACTTGAACGTTTTGAACGATTAATATCTCGATTTGCGGGGCAGAACAATGTTTATTTTTGCCAGTCTTTCATTTCATGCAAACCGCGTCGAATAAGTCTAATTTCATTGATTTTTGACGTGCGAGGGGTAAACTGAGTAATTACAACTGATTTTAGCAACACGTGAAATTGTACTATTATCTTTATGAAATATGGAAACGGAAGAACTTTGCAGTATCAATATTGCCCCATTAGTAACGAGCCCGTTTGCTATAGAATGGTCACCTGATAATCACATTTCAATAATTACGGAAAAGGGTGTACACGTGCTTGTGAGTTACATTTTCTATCATTTTTTTCACATCACAATGAAGTTAAATCTTCCTCGACATTGTATTATATCTATATAAAGAGAAATTGAGCAATAAGTAACTCTTGCGAGTTTTATTCATCATATTTATATTGTGGCATTTTTAATGTCGTGTATAAAGTTGATTTTGCAACAAGTCGTTAGTCGGAAGTCTTAAATGATCCTAAATGGATTTTCTACAAAAAGCCATTATCTAAGTTTTAACCTTAAGTTGTGAGGAATTGTCCAATGATAATCAATTATTTTTGTCACGTTTGACTGTGGTTAGTTAATTTCTCATGATTTAGCTTATTATAGAAAGTTTATTGCTTATAGGCAATAATTTTTTTTATAAAACCTATGAAAGTTTATTAGAGAAAGACATTAATTGTACAAGTTAGTTGTTGTCAACTTTTTAGATTCACAGATAAAACTTAGGACTATCAACTATCTACTTATTGTAAATCAGCATAATGTGGAACTGTTTAAATAAAGGAATTTTATAACCTAACTTGACTTGGATACAATATTGTTTTACAGGAGTTACAACCTTCGCCTATGTCGCCGAATCCAATTTTCAAGTTTTTCCGTTCTTTCATATATTCTTCCAATATTTTGCCAGCAGGTGCTTTTACAAAGGAGATAGATTCCTCAATATGGAATTTGAAACGTGAAGAGATTTATTCACTTCTTATGGATGATGTCATTACGCCAAAGTTAGACGGAGTAATTGACAAGTGTCCTAGGATAGTAAAGGTGACGTGGTCTCCTAAAAATTTGATTTCTCCTAGTCAGTGTATATTAGCGATATTAAACTCAGCAGGTGCAGTTGAATTGTTGCATAAAGTTTTTAATAATTGGTATTCCATATGTGATGTTTTGTCCCTTCGGCTAAAAATTATACAAGATGAAATCAAAGTTGGACTGGATAAATATGATCTTAATGAGAAATTAAATAACCAGAGTGCAAGGACAATTGAGACTATAAAGAAAGTACAAGCTTGCTCTATGGCATGGAGTAAACTGTTCAAAATAGAAGAAACTTTGCTCCTTAAAAGAGAAGAAGCCTTTGCATATTTTTCTGTAGCCTATCGTAATGGCGATATAGTGATTTGGAAGGTTCCCAGAATATCAAATTTTACAAAAAGCTTGCAGCCTATATTTGTCGGATTAATACATTTAAATCATGCATCAAAAATTAATGTATTATGTTGGATTACTATTAATATCAACGAACATCTGATTGCTGTTGGATATTTGGATGGTAGAATATGTGGTATAAAATTAACAGATAATAATAATAATATACAAATAACACTTGTAGAAAAGTATGTCGATTCTGATCATATAGCAGTCAATTATTTATATATAATTCCTCAAGACAACATAAAGATTCTTGCTGCCAAAGGTTCTTTCCTCTTGTTATTATGCACAAATTCGAAAAGTATACGTTATTTTCGTGCTCCAGGATTTACCATTACAGGTAAGGGTTTTTGAGAATTATGTTATTTTTTGCAATCAAATTTTACAAATGTTTTGCTTTTTTTATGTTTAAAAAATATTTATGTTACATAAATATTTTTTAATTAATCTTGAAAATGTGTTATAATATATAATTTATTGTTATATGTTTAATTATTTTTTCAGGTGTAGTTCCTGTTAATGCTCAGCAATTTTTAATCACTACACAGGACAGTTATACTTTTATCATTGACATAGAATCAAATGATTTAGTTAGTATCAATGTTAAAAGTCATTTACCACAAACACGTGTTCAATATTTAGGACTCGCTCATTCTCTAAATAGAGTAATATTTGTAAATATAACTAGTCCAAATACAGTATATGATCATCTGGTGATAAGAGAACCAAGTATAATACACATATTTACTTTAAAAGATGTATGTAATCCATTATCTACTATTAGAAAGAGTAAAAAACTCGGAAATGTCTGGGATTGTATGGAAATCCTTAGACTAAAAGCTCTCAAGGCAAAAAACCCATGTAATATATTTTCCCCAATTCCGAAGAATCTTGAATTGTTGTCACTCTACAAACTACAAGTATCAATGTGGATGACGGTAATGAAGACTGTGTGCACAACAAAAAAACCAATACCGAATATGGATCACATAAGGGAGTCTAAAATAACGGAAGCACTTCCGTTAATTTTCTTACATTCCGCTTGTACATATTTGGAAAATTTGATAAATAAGGATATATTATCGGAAAATGAGACATTTGCAATATTTTTGTTAAGACGATACCTGGAAATATACCAAGGCATACCATCAGATGAGGATTCAAACAAATTGACAACAAAGCGAATTCGGAAAATATTAAACACGACTACATTTTATTCAAACCAAATTGAAAAGTGTAATCTATGTGGTGAAATAATAGATGGAATGTGGCATGTCAGAGCGTGTCCACAAGGTCATAAATTACCTAGATGTTGTATGACATTGTTGCAGATAAAGTTGTTGGAATACCGTGTTTGTCCGATATGTGGTCAGATCTTTCACCCATGCTTAGAAGATATATATAAGGAGCCGCAATGTCAGTTCTGCAATGTACCTATTTTGCGTAACTCATATGATTTTGATGTAGAAAACTCAGAACTATACGGAAAAAATTTATCACTCCCAATAATTGCTGACATCACAGCTGAATCAAGAAATCCAGAATCTGAAGAATCATCTAATAAACAAAAACAAAATAAATGGGACACTTCCCATACATATTCTGTAATTGTGAATGATGATGACAACGAATCAAATAGAATTACGGAGAAATGGGAAAAATTTTAATCGTGATATTAGATATTAATTGTATAACTATATTTTATATTTGTATACACAATTATAAATCGATTCTACATAAATTAAAATTCTAATTTTGGACCTTGAAGAGCAAATACTTTTAAATTTTACTGGCTTATAAAGAATTACGAATTTTTGTATTATATACATATATATATTTTATCACATAATTAAAATATAATTTTTTTTTATTTAAGAACATAATTTTTGGGATATTTTAAAAGTTGCGGGAAGTTATCTACTTCCGTCTGTGGAATCTGATTTAGTCGAACAGGCACATTCCTTAGTTGTTTGATTTGATTACTAATATTTTTCAATATCTCTTCGGGTATGTTTTCATCTGGGAATATATGTAATTTTTGCATGATGTACCTTCGTTGTAAGTTCTTCGGTAAAGCTCTGTATACAGCTTTTTCTACAATCTGTTCCAATCATATACATATACATAGTTACATTATAAAACAGCTAATATTTTTCATTATTGTACATTTGGAAATTATAAGTAATCAGTTACCAAAGTTGGATCCTTATAATGTAATTCCCATGCAAGAGTCCAACTGGCACCTCCATGATAAGTAGTGTGATGAAAGTATACTCGTTTTCGCCATTCATCTCCGCGTAAGGCAATTTCCTTGCTGTTTATTACTACTACATGATCGCCACAATCGTCTAGATAAAAATTATTAAGTACATATTAATAATTATAAAAACATTTTTCTTTTTTAATTAATTATTATCTATATTTTGTAATAAAAAAATTTATATTTATGCACAATTAATTTTAAATAAAATACATGTGTATATATTATAAATAAAATATATGTGTAACCATATAATTTTTTTAAAAGCAATTTTTTTTACATCTCATTCTGTGCATAAATTTTTATAAAAAATTTTTAATAATTTTTACAAAAATGATAAGTTATAAAATACTTTATATCTATTTTATATAAAAATATGTTATAAAGAATAAATTAAATACAATTCTATTTTAAACATGGCGATAATCTTCACATAATTTCAAAAAATTAATTTTTTTGAAAATATTTTGTCATTTATTTCTTTTAGATTATATTTTTGTACAAATTATTTTTTCTGAAAGTACAAAAAGTTTTGAGAAACAATAGATTTATATAAATTGGTATCAAAGAACAAATAATTACCGAAATTATGTATAAACATTCCAGAATAATAAAGAAATAAAGAAAAAGGTAACAGATACCTGATACTTACTTAGTGGATGATATATTGGTTTGTACATTCCCATAAGATGATGTTTTATTATTTCAGCACTCTTATATGGATCTTGCCATTTTGCATCGAACACATGCCAAATACGGGCGAATGTACCCCAATGCTGAAAATAAATTAAAAACAATTGTAAATTAATTAACAATTTAAGACGATAATAGTAATCAATCATGTTTATGACAAATATCAACAAATTATAAGTACAAGTGTGAAGATTGCAATATTATTATATACACAATATCAGTGAGACACAAACCTGTCCTTTTCGCGCGAGTGACATAATAATTTGTTAATAATAAGCGTTTTCTATTCAATTTTATAAAACTGTTGTCATAAATTTGTAAGTTATCTTATTCAATTTTTAAGATTATGGTAACACAAATAGACTGGAACTGGAGTAATGCAAAGCAACCACATTGTCCAATACCAGGGCCGCCAATCTGAGGTATTAAAATCGCACAATACCAGAAACCTGAGACAGCACCTGAATAGCAGCTTGACTTTTTATGAATCACGAGTCACGTCACGACATGAGAAAGACATGGACATAGGAGAAAGACGCGTGTTGATTGATCCGCCATGTTTCAAGATTTCCCGCCCTATATTTGCATACCTCTCTATATCGTGTTTTAAATTTCAATAATATAATTAAAATTAGTTATTTTAAAGAGACATAAACAAATACATTTCTATACATTACGTGTTAAAATAACACATGCAAAAAGAATTGTTTAATATTTTTTTTATAAAATTATTTTAAGAATTAGAAAATTTGGTGGTGAAACAAAGTTAAAATTACAAAAGCGAGCAAGTTTACTGGAATATTTCTATCTCACAAAAGTGGAACAGAACTCACAATCAGTTACGTATTCGAAGCTTTTCTCGCACAGATTAGCTCTTCTTTTACAGCTATCGATTCAGTAAATCGAATACTCTAATAATAATAAGAGTATCTGCGGGGGGTTTAGAAATGTTTTAGAAAAAAGGCCACTTTCACGTTTCTTCCTGAAGTTTTCAGCTGGTTTCAGCGGCTTGTGAAAATGTACCTTTAACTCCTCAGTGGAAACTAGACCAGTGACAACTGATGACAACGCACAGGCTGCAGTAGCGCTGCGTTGTTGCATACGTGGTCTGCGAGTTGTGTCAATAGTGTTGAATCGTGCGAAAATCGCGTGTTGATTGGTGTCAATTGTGTTAGCAGTCGGGAGGCTCGTAGGTGCGTTTGGTCGTAGCCACGTGAATTTTACGTCGTATCAATCTTCATTGAAATTGACATTATCCGAAGAAGCGTGAATTTGGAATATACGAACGAGAACAACGTCGTGTTAAGTTGCGGTCTGCGCGCGGTTTACGAGTGTCCTCCGCGACGACCCGCCCGATGTGATCCGCGAGCGCGACGACTTTGAGAAGGCGATTCCCGATGGACCATCGCCGCCTGTTCGCTATCACCGTCAACGACGAACGTCTTGGCAAACCGTGTTGATTCGAAATTCGATCATCCAACGGCTGAACGTCGCGGCCCTTGGCCCCCGGTCCGATATCGAGCTGTCATGCCCCCGTATCTAAAGTCGTGCTGATCTAGAGAAACAAGAGCAACGGTGGCATCCCCAACGATGGCGAGCACCACCGCCGTTGGCAGCAATCCGGAGAACACCTCCAAGTTTCTGGAAGTCCTTCAGTCAGATCTCAAAGTACTTGCCTCGGAGACTAAGAAGAAGTACCCGCAAATCAAGGAGGTATGTTACCGTGAGACCACTTGTCATATCCTAGGCTAAGTTCAGAAATATCATCCGACCGCCTCCGTCATCCCTATCTATCATTTTATCCTTATTCACTGAATGTTAAACAAGGTATTTGCGTGTTTCTGAACATAGTCCTACTACGTTAGTTGGACCGTGAAACTGGAAGCTTCCATTTAGGTCTTGATTAAGTTTCTTTTCTCTTTGAAGATTATAAGCTACGACTCGGAAACAAGTTAGAAATCTATATAACAATCTATATAACTTACCGGGGCCATGCAAAAGATTTTCGGGGTCTAGTGCAAAGGTAAGGATAGGGGCTTTTAATTATTAAGCAATTTTTGGTGTGCTTCTGGTATAGCAACCAAAAGTAACCGCGACTAAGGCCTGATTACACCAATGTGATTTCGATTTTAAGTGAAACTTAAATGTCTCTGTCTCTGCCTCCCTTTCGGCTTTAAAACGAGATAAATAGAGTTTTGAGTCTCGCTTAAAATCAAGAAGTGTTGGTGCACCCGGGCCTAAGGCTATCTTCGTTTTCAGGGATCAGAAGACAAAGATAGCCTCAACCATGGTTGCTTTTGGTTGCTATACCAGAGGCACGCCAAAAATCGCCTTTTACAAATTTATAATTATTCTTGTAACACTGTTACTGTTTTTTTGGTAGACTAGCAACAATGTTACTTTTTTTATTTTGTAACAGTAATTTTTTTTTTTTCAGTAACTATAATGAATTTAACAATTACTGTTATTATTACTTTTTATATTTTGTACTTTTCGTACGTATACAATTTTCATGTGTTCAATCTTCAATCTTTAACAAGTACTCTTTATAGGCCTGTATTTGTAGTCTGTTCTTATTTTAAGATTATCTGAAGTAACATTTTAAGATGCTAATATATGGCTCTGTGGTCGGTACTTGTAGTCAATTCTTATATTTGAAACCGTTTTAAGTACAGTCTTAAGGATTTCACAAAATTAAACATGAAAATTTCTTTAAAACTTTTTATTATTTTTTGAGAAATTAGATTTTTTATAACAAAAGTAAAGTAACAAGTTATAGTGCGGACATTTCTGCTGTTGTTATCATATCAAATATTCTTTTTTCCTTTATCAAGATCTTTTGTTTGTTTGTTTCCTTTATCAAGATCTTTATCAAGATTCATAATTAAAATATTTAATTTAATTATTTAGTTGTTTTATTGTAAAAGACTTTTTCATTAGAAAATATTGAAAATATTTTTGTAAAATCGTACCTGCAAACACCTTCGAAAAAATCATGCATTATATCGCAAGTTATATTAGTCGAACAATTGAATAAGACATTTTATTGAACATACAATTTATTCTGAAATATCTTTTGAATAATTTTGAGTAATACGTGATAAATTTTCTTCCAAAGTTGTAAAATATATATTGTTTTATATGATATAAAACAGATATCATACAGATATCATACAGTTCTAATAAATCGTTTATTATTTTGTTTATACACGCTGTGCATTCTGAAAAATGCGTATATTTCTACGTACCAGTTATTGCGAAGAATATTACTAAGGTCTATCGATGGTCTAAAGATTCAGAACGCTCGCACGGAATGTTAAAAATCCAGGTTTGATTCTGAACCGAGGTAATATTTTTCGCAATTTATTTACAGATTATTATCAGTACAGTAAGATCTCATATAAAACGATGCCATTTAGCATCAAATCAATTGCTTGATAATTTAATTTGTGATATTACTACAGTAGTTTAGTTCAGTTGCGTTTCGAAATCTGAAAAATATCATTTGGGGCGCAATTCAAAAGACTACAAATGTAGTATATGTATAATTCACATTATTATTTAAAGCAGTAAGATCTATCTTCGGCCGTTATAGGCGTTATTTTTTTTATTTATTTCATATTTATATACAGTCTAATAAATTTATTGTTTTATTTTTTCCAATTGTACTAATTATATTCCGATATAATAACGTTTTGATAAATATGCCAATAGAGAGAGTTAGCTCCGATGAACTTAATCTTGACTTATATTGTCAAAGTCATGTCTCTGATCACTGACTTCTAACACCCATTGCTCGTTATTCGTTAAAAAGTTATTAATAAAAAAATTTACCGTATTATATTTCTACTACATATACAATATTAAGAACTATCTCATACCCTTCCTATTTACCCACCTTTCCTTATGTAATCACTTTCCATGCGAAGTAAAGTTTTCCCCACACTCGTCCCCATATCTGTCTAGAAGTCTGACTTTCCATGCAAAGTGAATTAGACAATAAAATCTTCATAAATAATCATTATATGTCGTAACAATATTATCTGTAAAATTTCAGCTCAGTCAGAGGAATGTCTCATTTGGGACATCCTCATTTTTTTAAATTTATAGTGACTATTATAATATGTATTTGTTACAGTCATGCGAGGAAGGAATCACAAAGTTAAGAACAGCCTCAAATAACCCAGGGACACCAATATATTATATTGTAAATCAAATACTTTATCCTATAGTTCAAGGTTGTGAGAGTAAGGACATAAAAATTATCAAGGTATTAAAAGCTATATTTACACATTATCTTTAGTAAAAAATTCTCGTAATGTATACTATATAAATCTTTATGATTTTCTAGTTTTGCCTAAGCATGATGCAAAGGCTAATAACACAACAAGCAGTGGATCAGAAAGGTGCGCGATATATTACAGATGCTTTGTGGTTATTAATGGAATCAGGTACAGAAGAAGTTAAAGTTTTGCAGACTGTAACGTTATTACTTACAAGTAATGCCGTAGTACATGGAGATACCCTGGCAAGAGTAAGATTCCATTTATATATGACTTTTGTTTTTTAAGTCATCTTTTTCAATAACATTTTTATTATATTCTATTCAAAATTACATCTTTCCAGAATTTGGTACTTTGTTTTCGGTTACATTTCACAAAAGACTGTACAACGATAAATACAGCCGGTGCTACTGTAAGACAACTGGTGTCTTTGGTATTTGAAAGAATAGTTGCCGAAGATGAGCAAGGTTCTGATCAACCAGAATCTGATGAAGTAAATTTAGAGGAATTGAAAATTCCAACGAATCAAGCGCCTAAAGGTCTCGGTCCTTGCGCTGCAGATGCATATTTAATGTTTCAGGTATTTTGTTATTTAGTGTAATTATGTAACTCCATAGAATTATTAGAATAATTATGATTTATTACTTCGTGTAAATTATATACATTTGCATACATTATTTACATTTGGTTTTAGGATCTAGTACAATTAGTGAATGCTGATCAACCATATTGGCTAATAGGCATCACTGAAATGACAAGAACTTTTGGTTTGGAATTGCTAGAATCGGTTTTAACAAACTTTTCGTCAGTTTTTTTTAAAGTAAATGAGATGATTTATATTTTTAAGAATAGGAAAATTATACTTTGACAGAATCTCTCCCTTTTATATATTTATATATATAAGGATTTAATCTTATAAAAATATAATTTTTTTAGCATCTAGAGTTTAGCTTCTTATTGAAGGAGAGAGTATGTGCACTTGTGATAAAACTGTTTTCGCCTAACATCAAGTATCGTAATTCAGTACCAGCATCTTTGCAACAAGCTACGCCTTTAGATAAACCTTATTTTCCTATTAGTATGAGGCTATTGCGAGTTGTGTCGATTTTAATACAGAAATACCATTCCTTATTGGTAAATATATCAGAATTTATGCATGGTATATGAATTTATGAATAATGTATATGAATTTATCAACATAAATGACACTATTATTTTAGGTGACAGAATGTGAAATATTTTTATCCTTAATTGTGAAATTTTTGGATCCTGATAAACCTACCTGGCAGAGAGCTTTAGCATTGGAAGTTTTGCACAAAATGACAGTTCAAGCAGATTTGCTAACAAACTTCTGCGAATGTTATGATTTGAAGCCACACGCTACAAATATTTTTCAAGATATTGTCAATAGCTTAGGTGCATATGTACATAGCCTCTTTGTAAATCCACACATGATGAGTCAGCCAGGTACAGACATATTACATTATGTTTCGAATGATTATAAAATAAATGTGTTATTTATTGTTCTTTCAATAGATTTTAATAGGTTTTTTATTTCAAATTTTTTGCAAAGTACTACATTTTTATTGTCATCCAAAGTGTATATGTATAAATTTTTCTGGGATGTTGTACTACAATTCTTTGTTTTTGTGACAGCAGCAAATTCAACTATACCTCAAAGCACAGGTTCACCATTATTCACAGGAATGCCTGTTGGACCTGGCGTATCGCCTCAACCCGGTTTTTATTCACGCGGTATTTGGTTACCAGTAGTAGCAACATTTATAAGCGGACAAGCTAAGCCAACTTAGTAAGTATTATAATGTTAATAATAACAATATTAAGCCCGATCTATAATTGTGTAAATATATTTGTAAGAATTGACCAATTGCAGTTAAATACAAGGAAAATATCCAACTGTGACTGGAGGATTCTTACAACTACGATCACTTACAACTACATTTACTCAATTGTAGATCAGGCTTTAGAGTCGCTATGGGTTATTGTAACAGACAAATACAAAGTTTTTTTTTTCAACTTAAATTCTTTAACTGTGTGTAACTATTTAAAGATTTTTTTTTAATGTTGTATACATTTGATATTTTAAGTATACGCAAATTAATCAAATAATATAATTAATTTTAATTAAATATGAAAAAATTATTAACCTACGTATATTACATGAGAAAAGAACTGTCTATATCTTCAAACTGGCCAAGGCAAACACAGCTTTAGTACAAACCAAGCATAACTTTTTTGTAAAATAATAAATTTAAATATTAAATAATTAAAATAATTAAATAATTAAAAATAATTAAATAATTTTTTAATTTTGTCTTATTTCTTAAAAGAAAAAGTACAATAAGTGAAAAATAAGAGCATGCTGTTTTTCGGCCTTGAAAAGGGTACAGTTGGTAACCCTAATAGTGACCCTATATTTTTTTCATAATAATGACCTTAAAGATTGATAATGATAAATGATTGTTTTAGTTTGGAAATGTTGGACAAGGTTGAACCGCCACAAATACCGATCGGTTATGGCATCAGCATAGCTTATGCATGTTTATTAGACATCATAAGATCGATCGCATTGGCTATAAATGGATTGAAAGACGATAATAACGAAAATCAGATCTATCAACCGAGTGAATCCGAACAAAAACTTCACGTACAATTACTAAACTCTAGTTGGTGCGGTCTACTGGCAGCTCTCAGCCCGTTAATAGATGCCAGGTTAATAGATGCCAACAGTCATAAATTATTATTGTATGTAATAGGCAAAAAATATGGGGTGAATACAAACGTATCTGTGAATTTGCAGCACGGACGAATCGGCAACAGAAAATGTTTTAAAAGCAATTCAAACTTTTGCGTCTCTTTGCGGTCAATTAGATTTGCAAGCGCCACGTGATGCCTTTATTACTGCGATATGTAAAGCATCTCTACCACCTAATTATGCCTTGACTGTACTGTACAATGCACCTCAAGGCATACCAATCGCGAGACAGCAAGATTCGACTCAATACAACTTAACAATAGGCGAGCCTGATTATAGGCAGCAAGTAGTAGCCGTTGGTACGCCACTACCAACAGCATCTTTACCAATTGGTAAGACAGTAATTCGCTCATAATAACATACATTTGACTATTACGGGATTAATCTTTAATATGTTGATTATATCCAGGTGCTCATCAAGGTCCCGTTATGTTGACTGCAAAAAATCTGCAATGCATGCGAGCACTATTATCATTAGCCCATTGTCACGGTAGCATACTTGGTAGCGCATGGCATTTGGTACTTACTACTCTTCAACATCTTGTTTGGATACTTGGTCTAAAGCCTTCTACAGGCGGATCATTGAAAGCTGGAAGAACCGCAGCTGATCCAAACGCCGTGTTAACAAACGCGGTTATGGCAGATTTACCTGTACTCAGCGCTATGCTTAGTAGATTATTCGAGAGCAGTCAACACCTCGATGACGTTGCCTTGCATCATTTGATAGATGCTTTATGTAAACTGAGCCATGAGGCTATGGAACTAGCGTATTCGAATCGTGAACCTTCTCTGTTTGCGGTTGCTAAACTTCTAGAAACAGGCTTAGTAAACTTATCACGTGTGGAAGTGCTCTGGAGACCATTAACAAATCATTTATTGGAAGTATGCCAACATCCGCATATTCGTATGAGAGAATGGGGCGTGGAAGCAATTACGTATCTTGTCAAGATGGCTCTTCAACATAAATACCCACAACCACTTCGCGATAATCAGAAGTTACAAACATTACTATTAGGACCGTTGTCCGAGTTATCATCAGTACGTCATGGAGACGTTAGACAACGACAGTTAGAATGCGTTTTACAAGTGCTTCATGGTGCTGGGGAGACATTGTATCATGGTTGGCCTTTAGTTCTCGGTATTATAGGAGCAGTTTCTGATCATCACGGAGAAGCTTTAGTGCGCATAGCGTTTCAATGTTTACAATTAGTTGTAACCGATTTTTTACCAGTTATGCCTTGGCGATGTCTTCCACTATGCGTCGATACAGCTGCTAAATTTGGATCGCAGACACAAGAATTAAATATTTCACTCACAGCTGTCGGTCTAATGTGGAACATAAGTGACTATTTCTATCAGAATCAAGAAAAATTGTGTATTTGCTTGCGTGGAGATTCGTCATCGGTATTTCCCGATTTTCCTGGTACGACAAACATGCCATCGTTTGATAAACTCTGGATGTGTCTTTATGCAAGATTGGGTGATTTATGCGTCGATTCACGACCCGCTGTACGTAAATCAGCGAGTCAAACTCTATTCTCAACCATTTCTGCACACGGTAGTCTTTTGCATCAACCTACGTGGCAAGCTGTGCTCTGGCAAGTATTATTTCCACTTTTAGACAAAGTAAGAAGCTTGTCAAATTCAGCTAGCAGCGAAAAAGTCGATACCAGTGGCAACATACTTATTCATCACAGTAGAAATACAGCACAAAAGCAATGGGCAGAAACGCAGGTTTTAACATTAAGCGGAGTAGCTAGAGTATTTAATACAAAACGACAACTGTTGCAAATGTTAGGAGACTTTCCGAGAGCATGGTCATTGCTCCTTGAATTTATCGAGAATTCTGCGCTTAGTAAAAACAATGAGGTATCATTAGCGGCATTGAAATCATTTCAAGAGATCCTCTTTCAACCGAAAGGAAGCGACAATACTGAAGTGATTCAGTCAAACGATTCAGAAGGCTTATGGACAGTGACATGGCGCGTATGGCTCAATATTGGGATGGAAAGTACTGCACCACCACAAGAAGGTGACACCGATCCTTATGTGCCATCCCAGGCATTTTTAACTGCGCTCATGCATATATTCCCAGGTGTTTTCCAGCACATTAGAAACAAGTTTATTGGCCCTGATCTGCAAAAATTATGTATTGTCCTGAAGAATGCAGTTGCTGTTCCAGTACACGGTGAATCAACACCATACATCTTGCCATCGATGCCTGATGTAGTTCTCACTCATTTACAAGACGAAGTGTTACATTCTATGGAACTTTTACAAAAAGAAGCGTTAAACGGTCCTGAAAATTTGCGCACAATGATTGTATTGATATTTCTTCAGTTGCTAAGCTTCTCGAAGCTGGCGTGCGAAGCCCCAACATATGGCAAAATACCCACAAAACACATTTCTCAGGTTAGAGGTGTGTCCGCTGACTGGATTACGATGAATTATGTTCCGTTTGGCGAAAAAGCTCTGTCGATGGTAGTGAATTTGTATCAGAAGACTGCGCATGAAATGGCCGTAATCGATGGTCAAGTGCTAAAGCACATTGTAGAAGCGCTACACGTACCATTAGCTATGAAATATGCATGCCCGTCTGCGACCACATGGAAATTGGCCGTGACTAGTCTTTTAGCCGTCTTGCACACTGGGCTGCCACTTGCCAGAAAATATCCCGAGCAATTCCAGAGTATGTGGCTTGAACTCGCGAGCACGCTAGACGATTTCTTGTTTCCTAAAAGGTAAATTATCGACTCTGATGAATCGCGCGCGCGCGCGCGCGATGGATTCTTTATCTTATTATTTCGAAAACATATTAAGAAATGGATTTTGCTCGGTCAATTTCAGTGTACTGAATGTAGAACGAGGGGTGGAAGAGATTCAGGCTGACGAGGCGGTAGATTGTCAAGTTATGGAGTTGCTGAGAGACGAAGTATTACCGCATTCTCAGCACATACCTCATCAATTTATACTGAGAGTGGTTATGCTATTAAATAAAGGTTCTATACATTCAGCCACCACAGCAAATATCGGTACATATAATATTTAAACTTTTTACAAAAACTCTTCTTATATTAAATGAAAGGGTACTATCTTGTTTTTCCACAGAAAATGGAGCAGAAACGAAGTTACGGGAAGAATTCGCGAAAACTTGCTTTGAGACTTTGTTGCAATTTTCTTTGTTAGATGGATTGGATAATGATGCGGAAAATAGTCCTAAAAAAAGTTCGGAAAGTGACGAAGGTGGAATTGCTGGGCGTTTAGCAGTTACGGCTCTTCTACACAGATTTCAAGAAGTTCTACGGCGTTATATTGAAAGCGAGAGACGGAATGGAAAATGCCCCTTACCTAGGTAATAGTGTCGAAGCCTTTCGTTGTAAATAATTTGATGTTATTTTAGTAGATCTTTTACTTCGATAAATATTTTATATCCAAAAAAAATGCAATTTTATTTTAAGTACTTATTATAGAAACATTTTCTAGGTACAGGTTGTCGGAAATATCGTTTGTTCTGAAAGCTGTTGCCACTCTCGTAATATCGCTCAAAAAAGCACCTCCCAATAAAGGTACATTTTTATTTCTTATTTATTTTACATAAAATAATATCACGTTTATACATATTTATTAATAAACCATTATTTACACTTTAGTTGAAAGATCAGTTTGGGAGCAGCTGATTGGATTATATCCATGCTTAGTAGAATGCACGATTGCGACTACTTCTGGTCAAGTGTCTAGGTCTTTGCGAGAAGCTCTGTTACAATATCACGATTTATTACGGGCACCGATTCATAATACGCCAACCCCTAATGGCGTTTGACCAATACATTCTTTTTTTTTCACTGCGGATTTGCACTAAAAGTTGAAGTATAGGGTGAATAATTTGTTTATGTAATGTTCTGATGCGTGATAAAATAAATGTGAGAGTATCGATTTCCTGATGTAATACAAGGTGTGTTCGGAGAGCTATTAACGCTATTTCATTCTATCCTTGTTTTATGTCTAATAAACAATGTGAAAGTAGAATAACACGGATAGCGCATCTCCCCGAACACATTTATAAAAGGATAATGAATTTACCACATAATTACGCTTTACTGGTAGAAATATCATGTTAAGTTCTTTGTTATTAGCGTAATTTCAGTAGTCGCGTACAATATCTTTTTCTCTCTCTTTCTCTATCTCTCTCTCCCCTCTTTTTCTCTTTCTTCCTCTCTTCTCTCGCCCTTCCTTCCCCTCCCCCCTTCTCTCACTCTCTCATTTAGAGATATATACATTATTTTTACGATATTGAAGTACAAAAATCAAAATAGAGATCAATTTAGATTGATGCTCTTATCATGAGAATTTTATATAAATTTGTATAATTTTTGTTGTTTCTAATTTCGTGATCATATCAGGAAGAATAACAAAGAAAAATCTTTTTACAAGATTTATCTAGTAGACAGCACAACAGCGATATGAGAAATTTTCATTGTACAATTGTTATTTTGATTTATTTAAACTCGAGGTAGTTACGAAGTAATGACAAATTAGAAATTGAAATGTTTCCTGTTTGAGATACTTGAAAGAGAATTTATTAATACATATTATCCAGAGAGTGTAGAAATTATGTATTCTAATAGTGCAATTGTAGTTTGTTATTATTGTTCCGAGTATACAGGAGGAACGCTGTATATACATATATGCGGAGAATGTATAAGACAGCTTTTTTAATTGTAAATATTAATATAAGGTATGTATATGTATACTAACATGCAGATATGAAGCAATTTTATTAACATAGAACTTTATCATTTATTATTCTTATAAATTGCGTGGTATATCATAAATTATATTATCAAAAAAAAAATGTAAATAAATCTATACAGATTAAATACAGTTCTCTCAGTTGTTATTTATACGTTTTTCCATTTCAGATTCCACAATATGCTTGAATCATAAATGATCCTATATATATTCACGTATGAAAATTTTGATATAATGCTGTCATTTAAAAAAATTGTTATTTGAAAAAAACAATTTTTTAACAAAATTTTATAATCATTTATAATATTCGTTATAATATAATCATAATGATATTTATTTATTTTATGTGAAAAATATAATACATTAACTATTTTATGTCACATTACAATATACTTATAGTTCTTGGTGTATATATTTTTATTGTCACGGAACTTCGTCAGCAAGTGTCATGAAGTATGACGCTAGAATATTCCGCATCATATAAGTAGTTCTCCTCGATGTTCTCCGCAATTTCCGACGGATCTTAAATGATCACTTTACAATTGTAATCGCCATTCTTCTTTGATTATAATCTCTTTATTTTCGAGTTTGTCTATCTGTGAATTGAGGATGACAATTATATTTTTGCTTCTGCGGTGCTCACTCATCGTTTCTCGTTTCTAAAAAATTGTATTATATAAACACTGCTGCTAATACAAGTTTATCAATGATATCTAGATTAACAGAATTGGTCTTGGGAATAAATATCCTCCAACTAACTACAAAAATTCTAAATTTTCTATTTTTTTGGCTCGTAATAAATGATAGTTGAAAATACATGATTATCTAAAAACCTGTCCGGATAAGGCTGCATTACGTGAATTGGTAGACATTTGAAAGACTTTATCGGTAAGAAAATAGTAAAGTGTTTCCTAATTACTTTCTGGGAGACGAACTGTTTCTCTTAGCAAGTTCCAATATACCTCTGTATAATTCTTTTTTGAAAGTCGATCTATATATAAGATCCAATTTCTGTAAGCTAGAGCCACAGTAGCATTAAAGAGCACAGCATGAAATTATTGATATCTGATTGCCAAATATCTGTAACAAATTAATATTACACTAATTATTAATTTTTGTTGAAACGTAATTAATAAATTGAATGTAATCTAACAGTTGAAACGAATAAATGTACCTTAATATTATTGCGAGGCTGTTCTGGACATATCGGAGTAGTATTCCTTTTTTCCAAATACGGTCCCATCAGTCAAAGCAGTTCGTACGTAAAATGTAATCACATCCATTTTTATATTGGAAAAAGAGATCAAAGTCTTCTTGTCACTCCGAAAATATATAGTTGAGAAGTCGCCATACTCTGGACGTTTCTCATATAGAACAATGTATACATATAAATACATTTTAGAAATATTTTCTCTACAATATTTTAATTTAAAAAAAGTGTTAAATCATTATAAAACATTTACCAAAATTTGCTGACGAAAACCTGCTGAAATGTACTCACAATCAATCAAAGGTGATTTTGAATGTTTTGTGTATATAATATCGTAATTTGTTAACTTTAAATTAAAATTGGTAACTCTGTGTTATTAATACAAATTATTCGCAAACAGCGAAGATTTAGCTATAAAGACTTTTAATATATCTATAGATACTATGTCGTTGTATTTGTCACTTACAATAATTCATGATTATAGTGTTACATGGAAAAAACGCTCCGCATTACGTTAATTAATCGCAAATTAATAATATTAATAATAAAATAATAATATGAAATTTATTACAATCTTTGAAAAGAAAGACGTAGCCACACTTTGTTCGCCAATTACGGCGTTAAATTGATGCGAAAGTATAGACGCAAAAATAAATGCGAACGGCTATTGCATACGGCTATTGTTACGATATAAGTTTTATGAATGATATCGGGTATTGCTACCATGTGAGAGCTGCAAGTTGCACCGATACCATTTAGCACTAACTAAACAATTAACTTAACTGTCACTCACTGCGAATGTTATGAGCACGACGATAGTCTGGCAATATATTCGGCAACTATCTATAAAGAAATCACGTGTAACTTAGGTCCTTAAAACTATCTTCAAAGTGATGAAAATACTTGGTATCCTGTGCACAAACAGGATATTATTTTAGAATATAAATTAATCCAATAAATTAAGTTTTAAATAGCTTCAGTGCAATGATGATACAATCGGATATTCATTCCGATATATTGCGTTTAATCCTAAATGATGAATTCGACCATTCAGCCAGAATGTCGTGGATGTTCGCGATCTTCTGCGTCACCTATTCTGTGGCAGTTATGATAGTTACACGATGACAAATAAATAATTTATGTACAAAGCCAGCGAAGTTTTTTGTCGACTGGGTGTAAAGAGGGGAACCGAGGGCAGTGTCGGGTGTGTTGATTTCCGGCATTTATTTAATTGCTGGCTCTCCGCTTCGCGTCAAATCGTGTTTTGAATGAAGAACACCATACATCGACGACTTGTCGCAGTCGTGCGTGTTCTTTTACAGTAATCGTTAGCACAATATCCTACAAAAAAAAACGAGTATACTATGAGAAATTAGCAAAATTAAGAATCGATAAAGGGAACATTTGGATTAATTCCCATCCCATTTCTATTTTCAGTAGAATTTACTTTTATAAGCGAATAAAGAAGATAATGTTTGAAATTTTCATTTAAAAATTTGTTTAAGTCGCTCCCCAGAATTTTAAAAATTAGGAATTCATTACTTTCAATCCTTATTAATGCCTTGCAATTGACCAATTAATTACAAAATAATAACAATTGTATTATTTATTTAGGCGAGCTTGTGCATTGCCTATCGAAGCGAAATTAGAGGGACGTTAGCTCGACTGGTGGTTGACCCATTTTTGTTCGTAGAGCCGCGACGTCATCCTCTATTTTAATTAACAATTTGTATTTCTGCAAGAAAGAAATAATTGTATTAAATAAAATATATTTTTAATCTCTCATTAAATTTTCTCTCTAATTTATTTATACTTACTGTCCTATTATCGCCTGTTGTAGTCATCCAGGCATAAACCATGTATCCAGGTATGCATAGCATAGAAGATAGCGCTGTAAACCAGCCTAACACATGCGACCACCATGGGTACTCATAATCCAGATACTTTATAGGTGTCCACTGAACCAGATTGAAGACAAATACGCCCTAAATTTAAATTAAATATAAATTTAAATAAATTATATATATATAATATATGTGTGTATGTGTGTGTGTGTGTGTGTATAATAGGCTATAATAGTTTCTAAAAATTCACTATTTTTTTTTATTTTATCACGATTATGTTTAAAACGCCACCTATTGAAGAGAAGTGGTCCATAGCTTAAACGGCTCAATGTGTTTTACCTGAGACTTTGACCTTTAAAATGACTTTCCTTTCTACGATCATTATCGCGATGTTATGTAAGTTTCAATTTTGGATATCATTATTACAACTTTTATCTTCAATTTTTGTATCATTAAAAATGAAGAGATTGAAAACAAAAAACTTATTAAATTGTTTAAATTAACAGAAATTCTTGATATCTTTGTAGAAAAAAAAATTAATTTACATAAAGAATACGTAGACAAAGGAAATGCAAAAAATATTGTAGAATAATAGGTATTTTCAGTAAGATTACTTAAAGTACTTTATAGTTATTTTGTAATATAATTTACACACTTAGATTCAACGGAAAAGACAAGAATCAATTGTATTAAACAAAATTCGTTAATCTGTATTTTAAAAAGCATTATAAGCACTTAATCTGCATCTTTTTCTGCTATTTAAAAATCTAATTGTAATATAATATAATATTTTTATTCTTGTACTATATCAAAGAATTATTTTAAGAAAAATTTAAAAGAATGTTCAGCATTACTAAAGTACCTATATATAATTAATTCAATCAAGATAATCAAGAAGAAAGTAGTCGGTTCAAATCATTTGATCCTTCTCAGACATACACAATAAATAAATTTAATTTACTTACAACGCAAATCATCGGCGTAGTCACTGTCCAGCAAAATTTCCACCACATAAGAGGATAATATCCGATCATGTCGCGAAGGGCGTCATAAAATCGATTTACGCCAAACGCCCAACTGATTGATATACACTCGAAAAATATAAGAAAGAGTAAGCAGAAGCCGGAGACAGCGTACGAATCAAGGATTTGGAAAACGTACATGCCACCTTGAGAAATACATGACAATCCGATGAGATAAGACAGAGCGCACACGATGGCTATAAACAACTCTTTGCGACGTCGTAACAGCTGCGGCCACTCATCCACCTGAAAAAAATCGAGCAATTAAAATAGTCGAAAATTAAGTTAAATATTTTAACAATATAATTTAAGGAGAAAAGTAACCTCTCTACCCAATTCCTTAATTTTTTTTATTAATATTTTTTTATTTTTTATATTTAAAAATGTAGGTTTTTGAAATTTGATAATTTTTTAAGGATTAGATGATACAAATAAGAAAACGTAAACATAAAAAACAAAAGTATTTTTTTAAGAAAATACCATAGCTGTAACGAAGCCTTCCATTGTACAAAACTGGGAGTCAAGTCCAATAAGCAACAGCATGAAGAAAAATAGACATGACCAAAGCGGAGCGCCCGGAAGTTGAAGAACAGCGGATGGATAAGCCAAAAAGGCTAATCCTGGTCCAGAAGCGGCTACTTCGGCGACCGGTTTCTGCTGTTCGTGCGCCATAAAACCAACCACCGAAAATATCACAAAACCCGCGAACATGCTAGTGGACGAGTTAACCGAACAAACAATCAGAGCATCCTTGTAAACGTTGTTGGTGAATTTGTTGTAACTACCAAGAGCCACCAGAGTGCCGAGTCCGAGACCGTACGAAAAAAAGATTTGTGTCACTGCGTCAATCCATACCTACGAATTTAATTTGTATAAATGCATTCTGAAAAACAGAATCTGAAATATTCTTGAAGTATCCTTAAACTTATACTTTATTTCAAATGATATTATCAAAATGCTATTAAATAATGATATAAATATTCTGTTTAGAGGAACTATCTCCAACTGATCTTGATCTTGACATATATTTTGTTTGAACCTGAGTGATCTTCAGAAGAAGCTTGAAAGAGAGGTGAAGTGGCAATCTCGTTTTGCATAAAAAGTCATGTAAGTTTCTACTTTCTAGGTAGGATGCGAGGAGGGTGTAGAGACCTCGCTTTGCATGGACGCCTCGTAGCAGGGAAGAGATGAGATGGAATTCACTTCGCTCGAAATGTCGTTCATATCATTATCTCCCATAATATTATCCGATTTATAAAGGTAATTTTTATTACCATTTTATAATTATGATTATAACTTTTTAACAAACAACAAGCATCAGCAAAAACCGTCTGGTCCCAGACACAATATATGTCAAGGTCAAGGTCATTGGAGATGGCTAATCTCCTATATGTAGAATATTTACCCTGGATGTGTACACTTGCCAGAAAAATCGCGACACTTTTTTTGAATGAATTTCGAAACTCATCAGCCTTCGAGAATGGTTGAACATCGTAAATGGCTAGATTCATAATAAGTAAAACCAATCGCTCGGTGAGCAGGCTGCATTCGAAGTCGGAAAAAGAATGTCGCGACCCTTCTAATAACTTCAAAAATTAATAAATGAAAGAAAATAACTTACCTCGGATTCTCGTAGTTTAGACAAGTTTGGACTAATATAAAATCGAATGCCTTCCATAGCGCCGGGTAGTGTAATACCACGGATTAGAAGAACAGTGAGTAACACGTATGGAAAGAGAGACGTGAAATAGACAACTTTGCCAGTCCATTTGACACCCTTCCAGATGCAAAAATAACAAATTATCCACACTAGTAACAACGTACCCGCCAATTCCCATCGAATATTGCCCATGGATTCAATACCATCACTGATTTGCAACGCACGCCGTCTGAAAAGTTAGACACAAAAATATATATTAGCAAATTATTGAAACTAAATAATGCACAGATAGCAATACTTTAGAAGTCTTCTTTAAAAGTATAGTATATAACATACATGCAATAATGATAGTTACTAATAAATATTATTGTAATATCGATTTCAGATCGTTTTCTTTCTATTGTTCGATTCTATTGTTCGATCACATTAACTAAATAATGTGAAACGCAAAATATTATTTCTATATCATATGATTATTAACTGTCCTTTTGTTTAACTAAATGATAATTACAATTAAATAAATTAGACAGCAGATCCAAAATTTCTCTCTCCTAAATCTTTTAAAATCTTAAACCTTTTAATGAAGAAAACACCAGTGAAAGCCTCAAAAATATTTTTGCAACATATGTAGTAATATTGTTGCAGTATATCATAGTGTTATTGTAGTAATATTTATAACAGCAGTTTTGAGTACCAGGATAACGTATGTATAATTATATAGCAATCCCCTAAATAGCACAATGGTGAACAGGAGTTCATAGAGAATATATTTAAAAAAATATATTAAATTAGAAAAATATAATTTCTATAATATCTCTAATAAGATAATATCTATAATTTCTACTATATCGTATTAGGATCGTGTTCAGTAGATTCAACTGTTGCGGAGCGCTCGCTACTATTGGATGATATAAAAGATACATATACAATTTAGCAGTGAGCGCTCACGGATCCGCAACAGTTGAGTCTGCTGAACGCGACCGTTGTAATATTACAATGGAAAATGCTGTAGCCAAAGTATATTAATTAAGAATCATTTTGTATATATATATATATATATATATATATTTAAATATTTGTTTTCAACAATTCGTTTTCAATAATGAATGCCATGCGCGAATGTTTTTTTTTTCATCTATCACTTTAAAGCGGTCTATCGAGGATAATTTTTATTTTTGTTTTGTTACATAAAAGTTCCTAAACATTGCTCAAATATTAAAAATCTGATCTAGAGACACGATAGTGTGTCGGCGCTAAGCCAAGTGTAGCGACACTGCCGTGGTTACTTTACGCGAGCCGGCGAGTAGTAATAACTTTCATTCATGGATTCTTTATAAAAAATTCCGGAAAAAAACGTAAAAACTTCTACTGCACTATTATAGAAAACCTTTTTTTAATGCATTTCTTCTGAAGGTCTGTAAACGAGAGTACATGCTACCTACTCACGAGTGAGTGATTTTTGTGATATACTATACAAAAAATGTTTATATATTATTCTGAACATTTTATTAATATTTGAACATTCTATGACAGTTTTTTTACTGTTCCGGAATATTCGACACGATAAAAATTGAACTTTTCTCATGAATAATTAGCGTTAGCTAGTTAAGATGGGGTCCGTACAATCATAAAGGTATAAGTGCTAGATATATGGCTAATATATGATTTGGGATAGACTGCGGTATGACTGCGGTGAATTTTTTTCCTTTTTGATTATATATGTATATGTTGTCGTTTTATCATTATGAGTATGATGTAATTTATCTGTGACATGAAACCGTCATTTTAATGTCTTGAAAACATCAATTAGTGATGCTAATAGTGGTCAATAAATGATCAAAAGCTAAACTAAATTTTGTGTCTGCTACTTGGAACGTACTCGAAAGTAAATGGAAAATTGTAATTAATACTGACTCCCAAAACTCCTTCACAGGATCCGTAAGCTCCGTTACTGTCACATTAATATGATTGAGTGTGCACATCTTGACGACGCTACCGTTCCTCGCCGAGATCTGACTCCAGCAATGCAACGAACTTCTGTCGTAAGGATTTACGCAATTCTTGGTGTTCCAGTCATTGTTACAGCTTCCCCAAGGCAATTCTACGGATCGTATAAGATAGACTCATTATTCAATATATTTTAGTTTTGTTCTTCATCATTATCATTAAATGAAAAATGTTCGAGATATTACATGAAAGGGAATTTTTCGGTGTAGATAAAATTTAATGTGCTCACCACTGCGCATTGACATGAAAAAATAAAAGATCGCCCAGGCTAGGATAACGATGTAATAGACATTCATCCAACAGGACATGACAGCGGCGGCGTAACCGATGCCCTTGAAAAGCGGCGCTATTTTGAAAACTCCGAGACCGCCTACTGTGAGCATTTGCCCGAGAGCCAATTCCATGAAAAACATGGGTATTCCGGCCAGAAACAGTGTCAAGAAGTAAGGTATTAAGAAGGCACCACCGCCGTTTTTATAGCATAGGTATGGAAATCGCCAGACATTACCAAGACCGATTGCCAGCCCGACCTTAAAAAAAATAATGAAATGGAAACATATCAAAATACAATTAGCGTTAACATCTTTATATTTTTAAAATAAATAACTGTTTTTTTGGCATATTCTTTTTCTGTCTCAATATGATATTCATAGAAATATACTTGAAAATTACAAAATTTTGTTTTGTGATATCGCTTTACCCTGATGCTTTTTATCAATAATTATATCCTGGTGAAAAAAATTACTGAAATTATTTCACGTTTTGGAATATTTCAGCGAAATTGCTGAAAATTTACTGAAATTTCACTGAAAGTGAATTTTTCTGCTGACATACTGAAAAATTGCTGAAATTAAACTGAATTTTTTCTGAAACGCTGAAGTTTTGCTGAAAAGTATTCCAAAACGTGGATTTAATTCAGCGAAATTTTTCCATACTTGGCAACATTAATATATGCTTAAAGAAAATGATGCATTGAGTATAAGATTTGATTATATATTATAATGATGCTTACCACACTGAGGATAAAATCCAGTTTGGTGCTCCATGTTCCACGATCAGGAAGAGGTTTCTTGTTGGATGTTGAACAAGTTAGATTTAACGTTGTTCTACCGTTGTCAGTGTTTTCTGAATCAGCCACTTCAGGATCCCTTGATGCTTCTGTCATGATTGAAGCTTTCGTGATGGGCACACTCAGTTATCTTTCGATGTCTCTGCTCGTGTATGCACTCCAATTAATTATCGAGTGTCCAGTGTCGTTTCAAACGCGAAGATGGTAAGGAGACATAACACGATATCTGCGAAATGAATTTCACAAATTGCTTGCTCTAAAGTGATAAGTCGACAAAATGAGTGAAACAGAAAGCAAAGTCGATCTTATTTCTTTTTATTCAACCGTGTAATGAGAGAAGATAGCCGTCTTCACACACACACTCTCTCTCTCTCTCTCTCTCTCTCTCTCTCTCTCTCTCTCTCTCCTGCTTTAGTTCACCATATTTGATGTGGACAGTGCAGTTCATACTATATTTTGCTTTCTCGAAAGTATAACATACAGCAAATCTTAAATAAACAACTATAATATACGTATATTATGCATAGTGCATGAAAAAAAATTCGAAAAAATCTTTACTTTAAATCTGCGAATGTACAAATAGAAGCTTCTTCTAAACCAACGCTTTCGTTCTTTTTTAAATTATAGAAACTTAACACAAGTTTTTGCAACTTACTGAAAGATGCTGAATAATTATAACACGTGAAATATATCAGCGTTGAGATACAACATTAAAATTCGCATCATTTTCTATTTTAAAAAGTTCCAACCACAGTTCTTGCTCTTTGTAAACTCCAGATGATCTTCTATTACCAGGAAAATTTACAGAAAATGTTTAAAATCGGACGTTTATCAAAAATAAATACTTCTGAATACCGAAAAAATGCCAATTAATAATAAATATTAAAGTAGACTAATGAGAGAGCTAAGAGTATGTGTTTTTCTATTAGATAATTAGAAGCTATATATTTACATTATATATATTTCAATAATTATTAAAATAACTCCGTCTAAATCACAATACGTATGGTTCTAAAATTAAATTTGTAATTACATCATTAATTGTTAACATAAGTTATATACTTTATATTCAATTATAATACACATAGGTAAATTAACATTTTAAATACGTGGACATGTTAATAAAAAAAATAATGAAACTATTGAAAATAAATATTGCAGTGTAGTAGTTTGAATATGTATTTGAGAAACTGCCTAATTCAAATTAATTTAATGTATATTTAAAGCATATTTACAAAAAAAATCTGCATCTCAATATCAATATAATGTATACCATTCTATATACATATAATTTTACTTATATTATGTCTTTCAAATTATTATCTGTAATAAAGAAGAATTCAAAGGAATAATTTCAATTATTATTAATGCCAATGCAACGGTTTCAATTGTTCTACAGAAATACAAAACATTTTAGTTACGTATATTAGTTAATCCTAAATGTATCTGTAAAATGTATTTAACATTATTATATTATTAATATAAATTTGAAAAACGGTATCAATACTTGAAAAATATTAGTTTGTGTTAATTGTTTTAATTTAATTTCACAATTATTAAATTGTTGGATGACGCTTCTCAAATTGATGTTAAAAGCATATCTTTAAAATGATTTCCAGCGATCTACGTTTGCATCAAACACTTTTCTCCAAACTGACAACAAGTCACATACAATGTATTTAATTAAACTCGAATGAGACAAGAATTTCACCGAATCAACGAAGACTTCCGAAGAATCCTGCAAGAAAAGCAAGATATTTTCCGAGGTACGTAAAAGGAGGAGGGTGGACGGTGGCCCGTTGGTACGTTAAATACAAATGTCCGGCAGAGGGTCTATATAATAAATATCGCGATGGTACGTGTTTCCTTGCTCCTCCCTTCCCACCACCGCCACTCATCCCAGCTCCCTCTTCCTCTTCCACGCTCATAAAAAACAGCTATATTCTAATCAGCCGAGGATGTGGCGTTCCGCGTGTCGCACCGGAATTTTCATTGTCGTCACCTGTCACGGATCTTGTCTAGGCGGAAAGTGCCGCGAATTTTCTTTCTATGCAAAATGTTATAATTGTTTTTACAGAAAATACAAACGTACAGCAAAGTAATCATGAGCACGTGGCATTAGATTTAACAGTTTTAAATATAAAGCACGCGTTTTTTAAATGCTTATACATGACAATTATTGATTATCAAGATATTAAACCTGATTTAATAAAACCTTAATTTAAATCAAATGTAATTAACTTAAATATTTATGCTTTATATCCATTTGTAATACGATGATTGGACTGCTCTTATCATGTACTTGCGTCTGCTATATATGTCTTATGTCTGTAATCGGACAAATCATCTATTTATGTTCAATTTGTAGCATAAAAATTTGCTTATAAACGTTTTTTTTACAATTTGTCGTTTATACAAATTAAGTTTCCATATTTAAATTAGCATTGAGGAAAATTAAAAACTATAGTGAAACGATTTGCGTTTTTTTGTTTTAAGTCATTTTAAGTAATAAACCTATATTTGAGTGCACATCAACACCTACGCAGACTCTTATCAGTCTTATTTGACCTGTCTTTGACTTGTCTTGATTAATATAATAAAATATTTTAATATATCAGTTCCGTTAAATTAATCACTTTAGTTAGATCGTTTAATAGATTATTGTTAGTTTTAATTATTCTTTACGGCACATATAATATTATATAATTAATTTCGCAAAATATACCCAGTGCGGTTCGAATAGCCCTTGAAATTGTAGTTTTTAAATTAACATTCTAGTGAGCCTTATAATTCAATGTTTAATTGTACTATTATATATTTTATCAAATCTGATTTTTATTGAAAAATAACGTTCTATGAATCAAATGTCACTAATTGTTTATTAATTACTTATATTTGCCGTAATCATTCCTACTTAAACTCAATATCTTTATTAAATTGATTCCCAAACGGCATACGAACCTTATTAAATCCGGTGATGAAATCTCCTGTGGACCTCTCCTATTCTAGAGACATTCGCGAATGAATCACTGCGAAATAACTCGGCTTTACCCCAATGTCGACGAGTAGAATAAATCTGATTGATTTTTATACACTGCACTTCCTGGGCACTCTTGATAGACGCACGAAAAATGTATTTTTTTACTCACCGCGCCGGAATAGTAATATTGTATCGTCCATGTGATTTTGACAATAAAAATCTTCGGTAATCAATGGAACTTTAGTTGATCGAATCGCTAAATTAATTTTTAGTTCTCCATAACGAGTGGCCTGATCTCGAAATCGCAACTAATTTGTCAATCACGAAATCTCAACTCCTTGGAAAATCACTCGAGGGATAATCTTCAGATGCGATCTGCTCCGGTCTGATGCGATCGTGTGTTTGTGTTTGCCTGCCGTAGGTGCACTGGTTTGGAGAGCACGACACGAGTATCACGGGGCGATAGAGAAGAATAATTCTCTGCGTTGCAAGCGCTAATGTATCCGCGAGATACTAAGTATGTAATCGGTCTGCGATCGGTCTAGTCTTCTCGGATCTTCCGTACACACCGTGCCAACTGGCAGTAACTGAAATCGCGGCGTACAGGAAGAAAATCCGAGGGTTCCCCCTTTTTTCTTTTCCCCCGCCCGTGATCTACCGCGCACCCTTACGTTTCCACCACTCCTATTAACGTTACGTTACGGGACGTTATCTACCGATATGTTGAAGAGTGAGAGAGAGAAAAAGCAAATGAGAGAAAGGGGGTCATGCCAAGATCGGTATATATATACTACAGGGAATGGAAGTAACTCGTTACTTGTAACGAAGTTACAGTTACAAGTTACTTTTTTGGTAACTTTACTGGTAACTGCGTTACTTTCTTTTTTTGGTAACTGTAACGGTAACGAGTTACATTTTTTGGGTAACGGTAACGAAATTTACAGTTACTTTTGTCGTTACTTTGCACACGATTGAACACGGTTCGATTGGATACATGCTATTTATAGCTCTTATCAATAAGACTTGAAAGCCCTTAGACATTCGGCCGTTATGATTCAGTAATTATTTTACACTTCTATCTTCTATGTAATACATAGGACATACAAATATTTCAGTTTGCTGCATATTTTACAGGTTTTAGAATTACAAAAGTGTGTTTAAAAAAAATTAAAAAATAAATTAAGTAATAGTAAAATGAAAAGGGCTATGAACCCAAAAGCGAAACAGTTTAAAAGACGATGACAATAAATGTCGAAACGTCGTTTGTTTTTATCTTGTTTTATCTATGTATTGTTCTAATATATATTTATACATTTAATTACATTGTCATCGTCGTTCTTATCGGAAATAAACTGTTTCATTATTGGCTCGTAACCCTTCTCATTTTACTTTTATTTAATTTATTATTTGAGCCATTCTACTTTGTTTTTTTTTTTTTTAAATAAAACTATATATTTGTCAGTATTACATATAAAAAAAAAATGCAAAAGTACATTTTTAAATTGATTTTAAAAAAGTAACGGAAAAGTAACGAAAAGTTATTTTTCAAGTAACGGTAACTGTAACGAGTTACTTTTAAAAAGCGATAACTGTAACTGTAACTAGTTACATTTTTTACTCGGTAACGAGTAACTGTAACTAGTTATTTTTAAAAAGTAACTTTCCATTCCCTGTATATACATATATATATATATATATCATCATCAAGTTGATATTTATCTACTTCCCTATCCCTCTCTTTTATTTATTCCCTCTTCCGCGTGCTCATAACTGCATTTTTTTCTTTCAGTTTCCTAATTTCGCCTTTCTGTTTTCAACAAAACTTATAGGGACCTTACCAGCTTCTATATACCAGCTCGTTGGAATTTTTATGAGTACATGCACGTATTTTTGTCTTCACGAGCTTCACTTTAAACGTAGTACGTACACATTACGCAGCTTTTTCAAAATTTAAGTGCGGTCCTAAATATTGTTGTAAAGATTTTAAAAAAAGTAGAATTTTTAACGAGAACATATTCTACGTCAAAATTTGATCATGGAGTATCTTTCTTCAACCCAAGGTAGCGCGCACGCGTGGCGATTATATTTCTGAAAAATAATTATTCACCATAAAGCG